ATATAGGGAAGCTTGTGCATGCGCACTATACAGCAATGACCTTATTAACATTCATTACAGTCCCTCTGCACATGCGCATTGGACATCAGTGACCTCATTAATCCATTTAAACATCTTGTGACTACCGCCTTGTAAGTAGCTCCTTCCTAGTAATTTGATAATCCACCCAACATACGCCTTTAAGCATAATCCTTTCAACATAACCCGGTTTAACATAACTTAATGGAGAACAAGTTGTTAGCTGTTACTTCTTTGTTCCCATCTGATGAAGCCTGAGGCTATGGAGGAAAGAGACGGTTTGAAAGTCTGTTCTACTGACCTTGCTATTTGGAGGCAGTTACTTCAATCTTTAATACAAGACATAATTAAGAAACTTCTAGGGCATACAGAAATTTGTGTGCAAACCACTGCTCCCATGTGGGCCTTAAGTTGGGGTTTTTACACCCGCAACCCACCAGGCCTACCTTAGGTCAGGGGGGTTTTAGGCCTGCAACCAACTTGGCCACATGGGTTTCTGCCTCCATTTCTCACAAGTATGCCGGCACAAAGTCTTTCCACTGCTTCCTCTCAAACAGCTTTTTTGGCCAGAGGCATATAGGCCTTTCACCTATATATGTGTATGTATACTAGCTAATACTCTAAAATGTATTTATTACTTTGTGTCATGGCCAGAATTTTAAAGCTGCTGCTGTACTTCAATCACTTACTTTATAGATGTAGAAAAAAAATGAGGATAAGAAAAGTTAGACATGCTTTACCCAAGGTCGCTGGTATACTTGGATTTTTAGTTTGATGTTGAGAACTGTGTCATAGAGCAATTAATAATAGCAGTAATAGCAATCTTACTCTTCCTGGAGCATACTTCACCTTTTTTGAAGCTTTCTACAAAAATGCCCCTTTTGAAATTTTTTATATATACTGGTTTATTTGAGCCTTACACAATTCTGTGAACAAAGTGTTATTTTCTGTTTTACACATGAAGAAATTGAGGCACAAAAATCTTAACTGCAAATAGATGGTGAGACTAGGATTTGAACCTTGTGTGACTCTCATACCTGAGCTTTTAACCATTATGCTAAAGACTCTTATTTGAAAGTGCTTGCTATCTTGTTTTAATGTATCATGAATACTTCTTTCTTATAAGAATACCAGTTGAAGGCTGGGCCTGGTGGCTCTCACCTGTAATCCTAACACTCTGAGAAGCTGAGAGCGGAGGATTTCTTGAGGTTAGGAGTTCAAAACCAGTCTGAGCAAGAGCAAGACCCTGTCTCTACAAAAACCAGAAAAATTAACTGGGTGTAGTGGCCTGTACTGATAGTCCCAGTTGCTTGGGAGGCTGAGCCCAGGAATTGCAGTGGGCTATGATGACACCACTGCACTCTAGCTGAGGCAACAGAGGGAGACTTTATCTGTGGGGGGTAAAAAAAAAAAGGTACCACTTTATTTTCTGAGAGTGATTAAATCTAAAGTTTTCTTTATTTAAACAGTTGACAGGCTTCAGTTTAAGTCCCAACTTAAACTGCTATTTTCCAGTAAGTAATAATCACTGCATAGTGAGTGATCTGTTGTTGAGGCTTCCCCCCCCCGAAGTCTATAGGGTCATCCATAGGCCAGTGTCTACTCCATTTAACACTTCTTTATTCAGTGCACTTTGTGTCAGTCATACTCTAGGTGCTAGAAATACAAACTTTAAAAAACATAGGTCCTGGCCTTAATTATGTTCTCATTGTTGAGAGGGAGTCAAATGGCTAAATTAACCTTTAAGCTGTATTTTTAAGTCATATTTGAATGTACCTTCTCTGTTTGAATTGTTACAACAAAATACCTT